CTGAAGAAAGAATGAATAACAAATTCGTCAAAAATGAGCCAAATCGATCTCATTGAAAACACTATAATTTTCTTTATTACGAAAGCTCATCAGATCTTCAGCAGTTCCCCAAAACGACTCTATCACCTCAGTGCACAGCTAATAACCTTGATTACTGGTTATTCTTACGAAACAATTATTGTATCAGATATCCTAAAAACAACACTCAACATATTTCAGATGGGCACCATTCACATCCGCTTTTTCTTACCATTTAGTCTCCTAACAGGCAAAAAAATTCTCGGGTATATCTTTACCAATGTTATGCCGTATTAATGTGGAAAATCAACTAGCTTTTATTTAGCAACCTGAACTACCAGACGGTATCCTGAGTGGATCAATTCCAGCCTGGATGGCTTCATTACATCGTCGTAGGTTATCGTTAAACTCATTATCTTCGTCGTTTGTTGTGCACAAATTTGTTGATGCTACGTAATTTCGAACACGGGCAATCCAAGACGAATCAGTTCGTTGTGATAACGACGGTGATGACGGGGACCACGACCTTGGGAAACCCTTCAAGAAACATTTGAAATACAATCATTTTGCAAATATTTTGACCAAATCGCTCCTTGCGAGTGACCGAGTGAAACGACAAACTATACAAAAGAATTTCAACTGAAATATTCAGTTTCTGATAGAAACTGTGCTTTAGAATCGAGAACCTTATTGTCATGCTGAGAGTCAGTTCCTGTCTCTGAAGAGGTAGAAGTAGAGGATCGTTGCTTTTGTTGTTGCTCTCCATCATTGGCCTGTCCAAACGGTTCGGTTTTTTTACGGATTTTAATTTCATTCTCATTCACATCAATAACATCACAGTTCGTTTCGTTCTCAGCTTCTTGCATTTTTGAGACTCTTTCCTCCTTCGTCTCATTCTCATCCATGCCTTCAATAATCACAACGGACAGCTTAAGAAAGTCCTCTCGAAACTTGCACTCTTGCCATATCAAACATATTCCACCTTATTATGTTCAGCATTCCAATTGCTTGTTAGGACCGTCTTTGCTGTGACTTTTTTTGTAAAAGTCGATATGTGAGGAAACACGAACTGCTCGAAACAAAGCGAAACATGCAAACAAACCTTCCTCCACCCCACAACGGCGTACATATATGAATGAACGGCTACTTAAAAAGGAAGTAATTCAGCTTCAATTCTATGCTAATTTCAAACGGCGAAGTTCTTTGCAAATTCAGTTCTCTAACTCCGCCTGAATTTATTCGATGGAAGAAAACCATGACAAATTTGTATGAGTGTTTCTCACACATCCTCTAATTTCGTTAAGTTGGTCGTATTTCTTTGCACTTATAACATTGAGATTGGCGTTGTGAAGCTGGAAGATGTCTTTAAGTTATAAACGAAAAATGCAAAATTTGGGGACCTCATAGTGCCCGACTTGAATTTAAGTTACCTCTTTGGTAATCCAAACTGAGATGACCTAGGAACGAGAATATTTCTAACAAATAAATAAAATATAAATTTGTTCAAAGTTACAAAATAACTGTTCAAATTCAATGAGTTCCAGTCGTTTTTTTCACACTAAACATCACGGAAGCCATTTTCTAAAAATTCGGTGTGATTGCAATAAACATCCATGTCAAATGAATTCGATTACCTATATAACGTTTTACATTGTTTTGATTCTTCGCTATATTCGTTTGTCAGAAATCGGAATACTCCTCTGTATATACTCATCTCCTCTGTATAGAAAGAAAGTAGAATGGAGAATTGAACAGCTACAAGAAATAAACTGTCACTGAGGTGTGGAATACTGCATTCGATAGAAATAATTTATTAACAATCATATACAACAGTGTTTGCAGATGTTTCATTGGAGGAATGAGTTAGGGCACGACGGAAATCTCCAGTTGATATATCACGAGGAACAGTGGTTCGCTTAAACGAGTTCATTGGAACACATCAGATTAGCCTGTTCTTCTTACTCTGTTAAAACTAGCGAACAGCCTGGAAGTGTTAGCGAGAGAATGATGCCACTCTTGTTTGTGCAAATGCTTACGAAAAACACTCTGCGAATGGTCTTCATGTCAATAGCGAGGATAATTTACAGTCGAATATCATTGTAATTTCGGTGCTAAAGCCTTATGAATTTATATTTGTATTCATATTAATCATTCTTCACAACATTCATCTATATCTAAAACAAATACAAAAATGTGCCATAATAAATTGAAAATCGTGATTCTAGTTAATTGCTGTCGATGAATTAATTTCTGATCCACAAAATAGAACTTCTAAGATATGTTCAGTTAGAATGCATCGAATGATGGCATCAACACTTCAGTTGAAACAACGACTCTACGATCGATATCGTTCAAGAATCTAGTGCAGTGCTAATTAACATGCATTTACGCTCTATTCCTGCGAATATACTTTCTCATTTCAGTGGTGTACAAAAGAGCATTTCTTGTATATATGTTGCAAAATCATCAACAACTGTGACAAATTCTGAACAACCATTCAATCACTGGAATTTTGCTTTAATTTTTCTTGTACAACTTTGCAAAAGGAAATTGCACACAAATATGGTGTATTCAAAAAACACATAATATCTAGTTGTAAGCAAAACAATGGAAAGGTTTCAGCAGACCTCTCGAACAGTGAAAGATCGTTTACAAAGCAACAGCATAATGTTTTTGCTAATTGTGAGCATTGCGTGATCATTAGATAGCCACATAAACACTCTGAATTATTAACAAATAAATGATCAAAAAAGCAATTTTGATCGCATTTTCTAGCAGAATTATTGGAAACATTCCGCAGTTAGTACGTAACATTAAATCATAATACGTGATAAATTACAGTATAACTACAAACAAGTAACGATGTTCAATCAGAAATAAATAGAATATTTGTTAAACGAAGAGGCATTTTCTGTGATCAGCAGAAGTGAAAATTCTTATCAGATCGACCAGAGAAAGATGAGAAAGGATGCTGAGTGTCAGACTCGTAGTAAAATTACGAAGATTATTGTCAGTAATACTGATGATGGATATTTACTCCTTTCACTACCTGAAATTTTAAAAACACTTCATTACTTATGAATAGCAACAGCGTTGACACTTCAATCTTTTCGTCTTTCGACAACTCTAACAAATTGGGTATTTGAAAATTCAATTGCATTTTCTGGTGTAGTGTTAAGAGAGTGATTATTGATGCGATTATTTTAAAGAAACGCTCAGTTGCTGATGATTTGAAAGCGATTATTGTTATAGTCTTAAAATGAGACGAAATGAAACTACAAAGAAAAATTATGAACTTGATTTGAAAACTCATAAATGCGCACCTTTTGTCCTGTTATTTGAGGGAAGAGTTGGTTCGGGTTCTGGTTCGGCGTTCGGTTCTGGCTCAGCTTTAGGTTCAGCGGTTGCCACGTCAGGTTCAGGAATGGGCTCTGGACTTGCAGCATCACCGATATCTGAATCAGTTGGTTCCGGTTGAGGTTCAGCAACTGGATCAGTTTCCACATGTGGTGCGGAGGATGTATCATGATTGCTGGACGTAAGTGTTGGTTCTGGTTGTGGTGGAGACTCTTCATTAACAGATGATGGTTCAGGCTCTGCTGATGGTCCGGGGACCGTTGGTGGAAGGCCAGGCTCGGGCTCAGGTTGAGGTTCAGGTTTTGCAGCATCTCCAGTGGTGGCTGCAGCTTCATGCTCATGCATGGTGCTAGTGATGGATGTCTGGTCATTGGTATTTTCGGACGGTTCAGAATCAGACGAGAAATCAATCTGAGGCTTCGCAGTGAACTGTTTTGAAGTGCTGTCTATTCGGAGGATACAAGAGGAATCGAAATGTTGCGACCACAATGAATTGATCGCATGAACCTTCTTCAGTGTTTCCGCACCACACTGCTTCTCAATCCCATCAGAAGCACATGATAGAACTGACGATAGACTGAAACAAGGGGTCATTAATAGAATCGAAAATTATTTATGAATATGAGAAGTGGAAAAATAATAGCAGCAGCATTTGTNATTCAAACGAATAAAATCAATAGCAGATTGATTCGATGAAAATATTGGCATTCGAAAGATGGAATGAGCTATTGTAAGAGCTTGGATGAGCTTCTGATATGGGCAATCGAATGTTCACTTCAGGCATTTCCTCAGAAATCATTCGAAAAAGATTATCGTTACGCGCTTGAAATACTTCAGTTACGCGCATTCTCTTCAATTCGAAGCAAATTAAAGCCGAAACGTACGTTTTGCAAAGTTTCATCGGTGCATCCTTGGCCAGAAGATCGACTCCGCTATACAACTGAAGACATTCCTCACTTGGTTCCGTTTGAATATATTGGGAAAGACATTCAATTTGCGATTGAATGTTGCGATCAGCACATAACGATTCGAATAAAGCGCTATTCGCTGATGAGACTGGCTCGAATTTACAACTCATATTCGAAACGCAGCTCTTATAGAGTTGTACTGATGCACAAAACTCATCCCAACGTGATGCGTTTCTGAAAATTTTGAAGTCTGTAAAGGTTGCTAGCTAGCAATAACGAAGAACTACTGATTCACCGGAATCGAGAATAATCATGAAGCCGTGACAAACACAAGTGATCACCAACGAAAGACTGAAACCAGTGGAAACTTTCAAAGCAATCAGTTTTAAAGGTGTACCGAATAAATGAGATGGGATTGAATGCAAATCGATCGATATTCGTTTCACATTCGAGATATTCGACAAGATCTGATTCTGAACAACCCGTATTCAACGATACTGATGGCACCGATATTGAACATGAACCATCCATCTGTAACACACATCGTAGTTATAGGTGTATGTGTTTAAAGCACAAACAACAGTAAAATTGTAAACTGATGAGAAGTAACAAACCTGTTCAGCGTATTGGTTCATAGCGTCAAACGAAAGAGTGAGTGCCTCTGATCCACAAGCACTGTTTATGAGAGGCGCGGCACATTCGGCAGTGGATGAGAGTGAAGCACAACGAGTCTCCGGAGATGAAGTCAAATATGGCTTGAGACATGTTGAACCCTGAATCATCATGGTAATCACTGAGTGATATACACGAATCGAAAGTTGTTACTGTTTGATTCAATTCTCAATTATAACCACTTTTCGGACTCTTACATGATTTTATAACATAAGACGAATTTTGCTAGAAGTTTTCTTTCACATCCAACCACAACAATTTTGAATTTATCGTTCGGTCAATGACTGCATTTGATCAAACTTGACAAACCAAGCTGTCAATATCTTTGCGATGAAATTAATCTAATTCAAATTGGTCAATGCTTCACCTCCACAGAAGTGGCAACCGAAGTAAGACAAGTGGCATGTTGACGGTACTGTTCTTTTCTCGAACATATCAGCTGCAGCAATGATAAAACAGCACGAGTATTTGATTGTTCACATGCTCGAATTGTACAAGACTGAACTTTTGAGAGCTGTTGACATAACTGAAAACAACAAAGAATCGAACATCATCAAAATCTACAAACTCTAGACACGCAAAGAGAAAAGCTAACATTCCAGGCTTCCTATGCTTACAACTATCTTCTCATGACAAAAGCAACATCATTGCTTCGAGAACTTCCATTAAAATTAGGATTATTGTCGATGCATCGTTAAGCCTCATGTCAGAGCAAGTCACGCCAATCGTGACCGAGCCATAAAATTAACGGATACTTATCGCAAGTGAATGAATGTAACAAGTACCATATCAATATCAGACGCATCGTTTATGATCGCAATCGGAAGCATACGGTAAGTACGCATCAACTCGCTCACACAATCCGTTTGTTTCGACTTCATTTCGGCAGTGCATGTGTTCGGTGATGGGGCAGTTTTAGTTGGTGGTAAGGAGTGCTCTGACGTGCTCATNTCATTTGCATTGGACAGATATCCGTGGAACTTATTGCTTTCAGCAGATGTAGCGGTGTTTTGCCGCACTGTTGCACGACAATGTGCTCGATGCAGCTTATGAAACGCGGCATTACAGTTCGTAATGATGCCAATGTGAAAGTTTTCAACGTTGCGATTGTTGTTCGTAAACATTTTCCAAACTCTGGAGTAGATGCCTAAAATTGCTTTCGTTTGTTCAGCACAATTCTCCTCTGGCATGCCAGAGCAATTATCCGATTACTAGATTGATTCATAGACATCATTTGATTTGTTAGCAAATTGGATTGTTACCTGTTTGAAGATACAACTAAGATTGTCATCAATAGCTTTAGCTGTATCCTGTTGATTACAGATGTTCTCACCAGCAAGAATCATACAGCTTGATACAACACACTGCGAGTTGCGTTCCAGTACGGGTCTCACACACTCTCGAAACTCCGTCGTAAGATTACATCCCTGTGCGAATACTGGTGCCAAATTCTTGACGTTCGCGAGGAATGATTGTAATCCACCCTTTAATGAACAACTTCCAGGTATTCAGAAGATGAGAAACGTTGCGTTCTCAACAAGAATAAATACGTAACACTGTTGAGTACTCTTGGAAGTCTCAGGTGATTCGAAGCAATCGAATGCTTTTTGGATGTTTTTTGTTGTAAACCTCAAACTTATCACACTGTCGTATATTGTTGAGAAATTCACTTGTGATATGGAATAGAGTAAATTATCATCAGTAGCTTGAGTTGTATCGTTGCAATGTTCGAATAGTACAAATAAATTATTGCAGAGGATTCATTTAAGAGAATTGAAAAAAAAGGAGTTCGAAGTGAATTTCCAAGATTCAGATAACCTTAAAAAGTTCGTCGATTCTTGAAGAGAGTTCATTGAGAGGTGCCGCGCATTGTTTTTGAACACGTATACTACATACCTCACAACTGACATTCTTCTTTGTTGCTCCTTCTTAAAAATACATTTATGTTGACAGTAGCAGTAAGAATAGTCCAAAGGTTAACTGACGATGGGTCTTCCTTTTATTTAGTTTCAGTTGAAAATGAAACTTTGAATCACATGCGTTTGTAGTTTCGTTCCCCTACTAGTAATGAGATATATCTGATTAATTACTGTGATAATTATAGAAATTGTGATAATTTTCAATATTAGATTAAGAAATAATACCGATCCAACGATATGACGTCTTTATGTGTTATTCAACTTTGTGTGTTATTCAACTAATTACAAATATGTTATTCAAGTGATTATAAATCGAAAATGTCATTGATGATGCGCACAATCCAGTGTAAACGATGTATTATTATGTCAATATCAGTGGTGATATTGCAACAGTATCAACGTTTGTTTACAACTCATGACCGCAATAAGTGGCACTCGCGATGTTGTTCGTTTATTGAAGAGTTCATCAACATCATTCACACTCCTCTATTATCAGTCTACTCTTATGCAGATAGTACTGCTTGTGTTGACTCCTTGATCATATCCGAATGTTTGTTCAGTAGATATTCGACAAATTCGTACTCATCGATATACTTTTACGTGATGTGTAGATGAGACGAAATAATGTTCGAGTAGTCGAATGAATGCCGGCAGAATGGATATATCGGAAGGATTGATAGAATAGCGAAACAAACCGTTCTCTTTAGCCGTGATTCTGCATGATGGATCAATAGCAAGTGCAAACTTCTGGATGTAATCCGTGATGAACTGTGATGCATCCGCACCGCATTTATCGTTCATAACTGGTACTGCACATGCGAGAAGAGCGTTTGAACTTTCACATGCCATTTGTGGAGCACCCCTTGAGAAGGTACTCACACACGAGCGAATATCATCACGTGTGGTTGTCTTTCTCACACAGTGCCGAACCTCAAAACAAATTTTGATTTTACTTATGCATCGAAAGAATGTAAAGTGATTTCGATGGATAAATATGAAGAGAATTTCATATTCATGCATTTCACAAAATATGTGATAAACAAATTATATTGAAGCCAATGATCAACCTTAATTGACTACTGAAATAACGACGTTCATTATGTCAATTATTTGTAGGATCAATCAATTTGGTGACGAAATTTTTAATTGTAAATTAGCATAATGTTCTCGATTATCGACTTTTAAATGCCTTCACGAATGAATAGAATACTGGAAGGTCAATCAATATGGTATGTATAAAATGAAAATAAAAATAATGTTAATAATAATAATAATACCAGTTCAAAACTGTTTCGTCCTTCTCCGCAAGCAAACTGGAACATGGCTGACATGCCTTCGGCCCATAAAGGTTTACAGCTGATATTCGCACGACACTGCATGAATAATCGGAACTGGTTACATGCCTCATCAATCCTTTTCGGTTGTTTTATAACGGCTAGTGGATGTGGTTGGAATGCGATTAAGGGTTGAGCACACTTTGTGAATTTCTGCTGTTCAGCTGGATCACAGGTTGAAGGTGTTGGTAATGGGGCGGCGTGAGGTGGTTGTTGCGGTGGGACTGGAGAAGTGACGGGTTTCGCGATTATCTCGTCTAGATCTGACGGCTGCTCCGAAGGACATCCTTCTTCAACACCAACTTCAGACATCTGAAATGAAATCAATAGCGATACAAAATTATGAATGATGATGTTATTTGGATGAAGTTCGACTTAAAAGGACCGACTAATGAACTGAATTCGATACAGAGCCTTAATGCGATTGACTATACATGCTCATGATGATTCGACTGATTCAATTCATTAAGTCACCATCTAATCAACAATATGCACCTGTAGGCCGTTTGTAATGACGATTCAGTACGGAAATAACAGTTAGAAATGATAACAAGTTCCTGCGTACGGATGTCAACGTAATCTTATGATCATTTTATTCAGTACATGATTCGAGTTGACAACAGATTAAGCCCAACGTGACCACTCTTTAAAGTCACTGTCCTTCAACAACAAGTGTTGTTGCTTCTCGCAACTGCGATAGAATCAAACGATAAGAAAACCAACGAACCGAGTTCCGTAACTGACGTAAATCATCAGTGGCCTGCTGGCTGCAATATTGTTTAACCAAATTTTCACCGCAATCGAACGTGCCTCGAATCAAATAAAATGATTTACAAAGTAGTGCTTCACTGTGAATGCCCTGAAAAATCAACAAATTAAATTTTAGAATTCATCAGAGTAATTAACTGATATCACTGATGAATAACTGAAAAATCTTGACAGAATTACTCTGAACTGAATCTCATTTTCAGTTGAATGAGAAAACTAATCCAAGAATCATTAGATGATCATACAACTCATAAGTGTGACGTTTCGACAGAGCGAAAGCCTTGATTTTGTATGGCTATACACTAGTGCGCTTGAGTCGCTGGAAATTGAAAGACAGAAACTTCATTTGGATCGTTTACAGTGCTTTTATGGAGATTGATGGTTAAAATAAACTTTTGAAATTATACTGAACAATTTGATAAGGCGATCTTGTACAATAGATTTGTTTATAGACCTGAAGCATATAATTAATCGCTGGTCCGAGACTCGCTAAACCAGACTGACACTGCGAAGTATGATCTCTTATCGTAGCGATGCAATCCCGATGCCTCTGGAGCGTATCTCTTGAACCCAATGAACATATCGGCGCTAGTCCAATTCTGAATGTAACAAGTCATTTTTATGATAGGCTTTTCCCACATTTTTTCATTCAGATCAGACGATCATCAACTACCACATTGTATTCTCCTCATTTTTGAATAGTATTTTGTATCACGCTTTAATTCTCTTGATAATATCATTTCTCTTCATTCATTCAACTGACACAAAGATTCAGTGATGATTGAAAATGAAAAATTCGTTTTTCGTAATAAGAAACAGTCTCCACTCCATCTAGCACGATTTTTCACGCTTCTTGCAGGTACTACAGTANCTCTAAAAAGAGCGTTCATATATGAATGCTCTCATATTTCCACCGTTGGAAAGTTTTCATGAAATTTTCTTTTCTCATTCTTTGAAGTAACAAATGAACTCAAATTCTCATTCTCCCTTTGTTCTCCTCTAATCGCTTGCTAGCTTGTCGCTAGCAGTCAATTATACAACAAATATATTGAATCCTCCATCTGCATTTGAGCAGGACTGTTGTCAAAATCATCAAATTTTTTAAAACATCATTAAACTTAAGCGATTTCATTTAACAACAACGAATTCTATCCAAAAAAAAACTGATTACAGTAAATTTATAGAGTTGTTCCGAGAAGCACTCCAACAAGTAATACCTTGCAATCGTATTTATTGGCGAACTGAAAGCGCATCGTTGATACTGTGGCTGAGAATGCACGAATACACTGTTGTTGAGACAAGTCTCGTATTTCTCGTACAAATTGCAAATATAGTTCACCAGCGTTGAATTGCCATCACTCAGTTCCATCAAAAAGTTCAGCGTTTGTAACTCCATCAATTGTTTATTGAGTTCAGTTAATTCAACCAAACAAATCAACGCCGCATTCTCCTGCAATCACACCCACATTTTCATATGCTTATCGCAATATCCACAATGTCTTATAATCTAAGTCTTATGCTCTACTCATACTGATAACCAGAGCCTCATCACAGCGCTTAATTTCAGCCGGTTTCTTAAGTGTTCATAGAAACAATCCCATGTGAAACATTTTCAGCATGCTCAGGTTGTCCGATCATCTTTGAGTTATGTTGATCACTTGCTTGCAGAAAAATAGCACAGAAACGATTTTACCTAAATTGTGCTCCACTCACTTCTATCTTCTTCGAAAAGAACTAGTTTGGGATTCTAAAAGATTCGTACAACGCTCTGAAAAGATATCTTATGAATGTGATTTACCCTTATCCGGATTACACATCAAATGATTAGGATTTGTTTATACGAACGAGTCAATATGTTATTGTGTTTTAAACTTAAACGACTTCGTGCTATGCATAAATCGCATAATCTAAACAAGTTCACAAACACACAATAACAATCAAAATTGTCAACGATTTCTTAGTGACAGCATAAAGATTGCTCGGTAAAAGATGCGCTCCGTAGCAAACAAAAGTGAACAACATATCTCACCATCAACCTTCTTTGTACACACAACCAATATCGTTAAATTATCATTTAAATGTTGTTTATAATATGTGTTATCGTAATAGGCATCCAATATAAGCAACTGTGAACGATTAGTAAACAGGAAATAAAGAAATCCCTTTCATGGCGCCTTTGGATCTATGATTTTACCAAAAAACCACATACTGGTAGAAGAAAACTTTTTGGAGAGAATGTTGGACTGAGTTCAATGAACATATAAGCCTATGAATGCATGCGCAGAATTTTGTTCGCAAGAATGTACGGCACATGATGTAGCAATAAAATGTAGACAAAATTTGAAATTAATAGAATTGGCAAACACTTTCTCAGTTGTTCCAATTACCTATTGAACTCGTAAGACTGTAGATTTTTAGTCGGAGGCTATCCGTAGGGTTAAGGGCAATGTCCTATGATTTCTGCTTGTTTAGTGAATGGTGTATAGATGAGTACTGATAATAAGCTAATAGGTATGATACAAACTTGATCAGAAGTGCATCTTGGGAAGACTGGATTCAAACTGAAGCCGTCATCAGATATTGGACCTTGCGGTTGACTGGATTGTTTCTTTTCGTAACAACTCATCATGATCATTTCATCATTCAACTTGTCCTGAATACCGATCACGATATCCTGTGCTTCAATCGAACAAACGTCATTCAGCACTCGTATTGCGCAGTCTATATTCGCATTGAATTGATCCACTGCACCACAGACCGTTTCATTGGAGGGCTGAAATTCTTTTCGAATAAACTTTTCATCGGTTATCTTTAATGAAAAAAATTTCAAATTTATATCTCAAACATTCTCATTTGAATATGGATGAGTGAAGCATTTAGTGGTCATTGCCAATATGTTGAAGAGCTGCTTGTTCCAATTATCATGAATGCTACAATGTCTTTATCTTTATCTTACTTTCTAATTGCGTTATCTTGTTACTTTAACTCAATGAATGCTACAATTCATTGTCTCAAGAAGCTGCTTAATTACGCGTTCACTTGAGATAAACTGATCAAATTCTGCGATTACTTATCACACTTCCATCTTTTTTCAATGCTTTCGCTAATTGCTATTGCTGATCCTTCCATTCGTATTCCATTACCGATTTCATGAATTCAACCTTTCAAGTAATTAAGTGTATCAACATGATAACCTCAACTTACATTGGTATCACATTTCGTTTGCTTGGCGCTCTCGATGAAGCAGTCACTGTGGTTCGCAAGTTTGTCCTTCTGTGCGCATACAACCTTACGTACTAATGCCCAAATATCATTTGGTTCACTACTGCAAAATACCTCAACATCCAACATTGTTTGTAACACATTTGCGCAACTTGGACACTCAATTGATTCTGTCTTCGACATTGTAGATATATCTGATATGGTCGGTGTAACTTGAGATGGAGCATCTGAAAATATTTCACTGTCAATTGCACAAGGGACTGAGCTTTCCAGCAAGTAGACAATTCATCAAATTCATTGCTCATCATCTATCTGTTTGAGTGTAAGTGATCGAAAGAATTACGGAATTGTGCTGACGAGTTGAATTGAATATTGAAAACTTTATGAAGGAGTTTTAGAGAGGTAAACTTGGAACATACGTTGCATGCAACGGAGATGTTCAAAAAGATGTATTGTTTCTGAGTGTATCGGATCGATAACTTCAACTGCTGCTTCATCACAAAATTCTGACGATAATCGCTCGACGCAAGTCAAATCCGCACTCACCGACGATAGCAAACGACACAGCGGTGAACCGATTGCGAAATCAGCCCTAGAAAAATGACTCGTTATCAGATTAACCCAAGGTGGTTGGGTTGATATTTGTAACGAAAACAATGTGAGCAGCAAGG